GACACTAAAATTTGATCTGTTTGTGCTGAAATTGAGACTGCCTTTCAAGTTGATATTCTTACTGCACATGAGGTTACAAATGAATTTGTTCATGTATATGAAGCTCTCGACACCCCAGTTGCCCGAAACAAACCATCCATCAAACAACCACATTCCCGAGAGTTGAAACCAATTCCTGAAAATCTTAACTAAGCTTATTTAGAGATGAATGAAAAACTCCTGATTATAATTTCTTCTAAACTTTATTTTGATCAAGAAAGTAAATATTTGCAGGTTTTGAAGAAGCATGAGAAAGGAATTGGATGGATATTGGATTATATTTATGATATTAGTCTGTCAATGTGTATGCATAGGAACTCACTTGAACATATAACAAAAGCAGTGAGGCAGCCCCATAACCTTTTGATCTTTGATATTGTGAAAGATGAGATTACGTTCACATATCCACTCAACACTTTTACTTATCAAAGATTCTTCTTTGATCCTGGAATAAAAGGCGAATCCACTAATAAAAATTTCAAGTTTAATGGACATTGCCCAAAGCTACTCTATGAGAGCCCCACTTTGGAAGAAGAGAATGTAGAAGATCTCTCTTTAGAAAAGGCTGCTTATGTGATCACTTGTCCTCCTTGACTATTCAAGTGTGCTATTTCCTTTCTCTCACTCTTATTTAATAGTTATGTTCTTTTATTGAGGACAATGCATGTTTTAAGTGTGGGGGAGGGAATCATTTATTTTCTTTGTTTTCTTTGCTTTTGTTCGTTGTTTTGTTTTATTTTTAGTTATTATTAAAAAAAATGCATCTTTTTGAAAGTTTTGGTTATAGATTAATCTGAGGTTAGTTGTGGAGACGTGGGAAAAGTTCACAAGATCGGTATCATCTTAACACCGTAAGTCTCCTGTATATGGAAATTAATTTGAATAATTATTATGACATAACCTTGAATTCTCATTCTCTAACATATCTTGAGTAGTTTATCTTAGCAGTCGGCACCATCTCACACATGCTCTACGTAGGGAAGTCGATGAATATAGGTGAGTGGTCCAGGTTTTTATTTGAAAAAAAATTAGGGAATACACCTTCTAAGTTTGGTAACCCTCACCCGGTCACTTAACCCAACGGTTGTGGAACCTACAAAATTTGATTATCAGACTGTTTACTGTGGAAAATGGTAAACAATCACTGGTCCTCCCAAAGTCCTAAAACTAAGGGTAACTCGCAAGATCGACCAGTTGATCTTAAGACATGTGCTAATAGTTTTATTATTATACTTATTCTATCGAAATCCTTATCAAGGGAAATGGTTTTCTGTGACTAAGGGAACAAGTATAACGAATTTCCACACTATGAATCGATCGACTGACTGGTGACTCGTGACCGACAGAAGGTATTCATATGAAAATAAGATTCAATAAACTAACTGACTAGTGACTCGTGACCGACAGAGAGCATTGAATTGTTTACGCGAAGTAGAAAATAATGTAAAGACTTTGTTCGACAGTACATAGAAAGCAAATAAAGTATTCAAAAGAGATAATTGAAAAATAAAAGATTTGTATTGAAATAAAAGTGGTGATTCAGGTACGTCAAGCACTTTTTCACTCTTTGTTTTCTAATGCTAGGAATGACAGAATTTTGACAAGTGATTTGAGCATACAAGTGAACACACCAAAAACTACACTAAATTTGTTTATTTATAATATTTACAATGTAACTGCCTAGATGAAATCTACGGACAATATTAAAATCTTGAGACAACCGATTCACTAGATGTCGCCACCTATTTGGAGCTTAAACAAATTGTAAACCGCTGGCAAATGCTGATGACTTTGAAATTTAAATATTCCCGCTCCTAGCTTCTGAAAGTAAACCACTTTTGACTCGCTTTGACACTTTCCCTTTGGCAAGATTTAAAAAAAACAACAATAATTCCTCTAAGTCCAGAAACCCTTTTGGTTGACAAAAACCAATTTCGACCATTTTCCTTGTCTTTCACCCTTTGGCCGACTAAACCAATTCGACCATTTCTTAACATATATTCATTTATTTCCTTTTGGTCGACCTGGCTCAGTTTCAACAGTTTGGCATGACATTCCCTTTAAACATTAAATCTAGTTTAACAAAACCAAATTTTAAAACACTTTGGCTCCAATTTCCCAAAAACCCTTACTTTAGAGGATGATCCTTAGCTTATGAGAATATCCTCATTTAATACACGTGCTTGAATATCTTAAGATTTTTCAAGGTAACACAATGCCCCCCAGAGATTCCATTTTCGAATTTCGACTCATATGAGATAATGGCATCTTTGAAGCGTCAGTTTTACCATTTGACCAAACCGTTTCCATCCATCCAAAAGTGAACTTTATTGTTCCTCCTTTTTCGTGATGTCATGTAATCATGGTAACATATCACGTTTTTCAGCTTCGAGACGTGTGACATTTAATTTTTGCCATCATTGCACTTTTAGTGGGAGATGTAGCCCATTAACTCACGTTGATTTTGTAGCACATGTCCCTCAAATGGCACGATTTAAACTTAGGAAATAACAAATATTTTCCCCATTATTTCTTCCTTCCTTTCAGAGTCTATAAATACCCTTATTTCTCTTCTTCTTTTTTTTCTACGTTTCTTCGCTTCTTCACACCCTTGCTTCAGAAAAATGCAGAACCTGCAAATTTCATCAATGTTCCCATCTTCATCCTCCTTCAAACTTCTTACAATGGAGAATATTTATAATCAAACTTCTTCTCCAGCAACCGCTCTTCAACTACGCCTCGTCGACGATAAAGCTTATGTGTCGGAACCTCCATTTACTGAGGAGAAAGCCAAATATGGCAATCTCAGGTACTTATCCCTTTTTCTCTTGAAGAAAAAACCCTAGCTTTTTTAGGGCCACTTTCTGCAGATGCACCCTCTGAAATCTATGTAGACGATAAAGAAGCATTTTTTCCTACTAGCATTATTACCAAACCCATAATTTCTTCTCCAAACCCCAATTCGATCAAGTACATTGACAGGAACTTTAGAACAGTCCCACCTCTGCATTACCCTAAGTTTTGTGCTTGGATGGCACGTTTAGAAACCGACAAAGGAGATCAATTGAAAAGAATGTGCATTTACACATTGTTATAACTTTCTCGATATGGCCAGCCTTACTCTAGTGGCATGCTCCTAGCTGCCATACATTTTTGGGAAGGGTCGACTAACACTTTTCATACTAAGTGTGGTATGATTACTCCTACCATGTCCGACGTTGTTGCCATCACAAGGTTAAAACCATATGGAACAGTTTTTAACTACAGAGATGTTGAACCTGTGCCACTAAAGTTCGACGTTGGTGAAGCTGGTAAACCAACATACAACAACTTCATCGACCATCATGCTCAAACTTCTAGCCTCATAACTGACGAAGAGCATGTAACATTTTTAACCTTATGGTTGTCTCGCTTTATTTTTTGCTCCAGGTTTTCGGGATTCAAGTGCACTCCACATAGTTTTCTGAACTTCCCAATTAGGGATCAATCAAGTCATTATCGTTCCAAGCTCTCATGTGTTCTAACACACTCTGAATTGTGAAAAAAGTCAAGTGTTTCAATTAATATAAGACAGTGTAGACAAAATTTAAGTATTGTGTGTTTCAAGCTCAGAAATTCATAACTTGAGGTCATAAATTGGTTTGGGAATGATTCTTCAGGCAATAGAACCGTCTTGAGGTCTTCTTCATTCCATCAGTTCACATCGAAGGCAAATTATTGAGGAAGATTTTCTAAAACTCCAAATACTTGAAATGCGTTATATAACGATTTTCGAATGCTTACAAATTCATAACTGCTAACTGGAAAGTCATCTTTGAGTGCCTCTCAGAGAATTTGAATCATCTTGTTATTTTCTTCAACTTTCGTGTCCAACCCGAAAGCCAGTTCATTGAGGAAGATCTTAGAATGTGCGAGTATTCAGAAGTTATACGGTGCAAAACAGTGAAAATAATGTGTTGAACCGTTATTTTTCAGAAGTTCAAAATTTCATAACTTTCACCTGGTTCATTGTTTTTAGGTGGTTCTTTAGGCTAAAAATTTGTCTTGATTTTATCTTCGATCCTTATGTTCGGTCAGGAGCTAATTCTTTGCAGAAGGTTTCCAAAAGTGCAAATTACCAGAGAAAATTGCATGCTAAAATGGATTTTTACCGGACTATTTTTTCGATATTGTAAAAATCGTAACTCTCTCGATTTTTGTCGTATTGGGACTATTCTTAAAGCGTGAGATCACAAATTTTTCTAAGCTTCAACTTTTCTGCAGGGCCCGAGTTTAGATTATGCTCGAAAGACTTCGGTTTATGGCTCGCATCCGAAAGTGCGCACGGAAATAAGCTAAAATTTTCAATACGGTGGAATAAGTCCACTATTTCTTGCCATTCGAAAAATCATAACATGTTCGATTTTTATCATATCAGGGTGATTCTTTTGGCACAACGTCACAATTTTTATCTCCGACATTTTCGTTCCGAGTTTGCATCGAGATTATGCACGAACAACATGAGCTTGTGGTTTGTTCGCGTGCCGTACATAAAATAAGCTGTAAAATTTTACACTGTGAATTTTTACACTGCATTTCCCGTCGTTCAGGACGACATGACTTGCTTAATTTTTATCGTATCGAGACGATTATGTCGGCGCCGTGTCACAAATTTCATCATCAACATCTTTGTTTAAAGTTGCGCGTCAAGGTTTCACACCGATTATTATGAGCTTGTGGTTTGATCTCGCGTTGTGCACAAAATAAGTTGAAACTTCAAGTTTGGAGCCAAAACTATATATTTCAAATTTCAAATCTCAAACATAATTACAATCACAATCTCAAATCTCACAAGATCAAAAAATATTCTCTTTCACTTTGCTCTCATCTTCTCTCATCTTTTTCAAGAAGCTACAACAAAAACTCAAAGAACTCATCAAATCTTCATCACTATCCTTCAATAACTATGTAAGTTATTCCCTCTAGTCACTCGCCTCTGACTCCGGCGAACACTCCGCCGTCCCCTCCAACTCCAACCGCCATGACTTCTGAAGCACCCTCCGTCCGTCACACTTTCCAGTAGACATGACCGCCTCCACCGTGTGAGTCCTCCGCGAGTTCTCTTCCTCTGATCGCTTGAATTTTCTAGCAGCGTCTTCCTCTCGGATCGCTACTCTGGCCAGCAGCTCCTCCTTCTTCTCCTATTCACCTTTGATTATGGTAAATTCTTGAATCTATCACAATTTAATTTCTTTTGGATGATTAATTCTTGTGAAATAGCATGTGAATTGGATTCATGAGTTGAAATTGAATTGAATTCTTGAAGTTTATTTGAGATACTTGATTCACGAGTTGTTGTTAAATTGAATTGTGCATTTGAACTTGATTCTTGAATTTTTGATTATGAATAGAGTTGGAGTTGGTTGGACATTTGTTGAATTATTGTGAGATTTTTGAAATTCAATGGGATAATTGTTGATGAGATTTCGAATTCTTGAATTATGGAAGCTTGATTGAGTGTTATGTTAAGGCTTTATTCTTGAACGGAATTAATTTTTGGTTGAGCTTTATGTGAATTCATGAGATTATTTTGATTCTTGAATTGATTAAAAGTATGAATTGAATTCGATATAATTTCATGAGTTGAATATTTTTGAGACAATTGTTCATGAACCGGTAAATTGATGTTGATTTTTGATTATGATTTTCGATGTCAAATTATGTTGAATTAGTTTATTGGAGATTGAATCCGGATATACTTTGTTGATGACTTTTGAATGTCAAATTATTCTAGAATTTTAGATTCTTGAATTGTTGTTGAGAATTACCGCTAAATTCATGAGTTAATGCAGTTTTGGATTGATTTAAATAACTAATTTATTTTTCTCAACATTTAAAATGTTTCGATCCGATAAGTTGAATTAACAATTGAATCATTTTGTTTGAGGCTTGAAGCACTTATTTCCGATGTGTATAAACGTTTATGATTGGTTTACAACTTCATAGTGACAACACTTGAATTGATAATCTCTTTAACGCATCCGTTTAGGATTTTGAAATTCAATTCTTATCAATTTAGTTCAAGTGTAAGTTTCTGCCCAAAGAATGTAAATAGATTGCAAATTTCTTTTTAAATACTGTTTGAGGTTCACGTGAATTCACTTACGCAGTTAATGATGATTGATGTTGAGAATTACTGATTGCAGAACTTTTTTTTCACGCACAATTTCAATGTGGTATGTTGCTGCCCGGGAACGGTAAGTGGCACTTGCATGTGGATTTAATTCGCGGTGGATACTTTTTTGAGCTTGTTGGTACGTTTGGTGGCTATCGGTAGTGTTTTTGGTCAATTTCATTCTGAATTTTCGTGCACTTTAAAATTGAGTACAATGTTGTTCGGTTTTTTTTAACATGTACATTGAGTTTTAGTATTCATATGATGCATGTTTGTGCTTCATCGGTTGATTATTGGACATTGTTGTTGAGTTAGCTCGATTTTGACGTGTTTTCCAAATTAATTCATGATAGGTACATAATGCTGCCCTGTTTTGTAATTTGCACACATAATGCATTTTAATTGTTGGTTTATGAATTGTTGTACTTGTATTGGTCTTTGTTAGACATTTGTATCGAGTTGTGTTGATTTCGGACCGGCATTTTGCGTGTTTCATTATGTGATGTACATGCTACCCGGTATTCTATTTTGTGCGTCTGTTACTTGTTTGATTTTGCTTTATGCATGATAATATGCCATTTTGAGTTGTGGTGTCGATTTTTGAGTTACATTTGATATTCGTTGTTATTTTCTAACTCTTATTGTGACATTATGCAAGCTTTGGAAGGTGATTCATCGCGATGCATTTGTTCGGATTTTACTCTTTTGCTTGTGTAGCATTGTTTGGTGTAGGACATTAGCTGGATGCACGCATAGCTTGCGGTTTATTTTTGAATTGTAATATCGGATTATTATATTAGATATTATATCTTATTTGATTTGTTGTTGATGATAGCTTGCTCGAAGTTTTCCGGAGTTATTCTGCTTTTACTTTCTTGCTACGAACTCTTGTTCATTTGGTACTGTACTGATTCTGGTTTATATTTCCGCATCATTTACCGCTTTCCTTACATTTAGAAGTAGGAATAGAGATGCATGACTGGGAGCCCCTATTTTAGGTGGGAATCTGTTTAAAGTCCTCAAGTGAGGCGATGCTTGTTCTGTTAAAGTCCTCGAAAAATGAGGCAATGTTTTTGTTTGCAAAAGACTCCAAAAGGAGCAATTTCATGTTGTTTGTTTAAAGACCTTAAAAGAGACATTTTTGCTAAAAGTCCTCGAAGTATGTAATTTCCCTTCCCTTTTACATTTTGTTTGTTATCGAGTCAATAAAGTGGAGGAGGGCTCACAATCGACCCCATGCATTCTAGTTTGTGTTGTTCCTAGCTCGCGCTATGCGTTGATGCTTTGAACCGTGCCGATTCTTGTCCATTGAGTCAAATAAAGTGGAGAAGAGTTCGTAATCAACCCCCACATTTTGTCATTCGTTTTGACGATGTTATCTTGCACCGCTCGACGTTGATGCTCTGAGTTGATACTCGATGCTGGTGCTCGAGCAAATCAAGTGAAAAGATTTCCTTACTCCCACTTTGAGATCCATTGGACTCTTTTGTTTTCTATTAGCTCGCACTCGATGTTTGTTTTGGCTTCATCTTATGCTTTCTTGTTTGCGCCTTATGCTTGTGCTTTTCTTTACACCTTTGTCATGATCCCTTAGAATTTGCTTGTTTCGTTTCAGATGCAAGTTAGACATTAGGGTTGTAATCCATGCATGTTAATTTAGGTAGATATCTCCCTTTGTTATCCAAACTTTAAGACCACCATGGTATGATAACATTAAGGATAGAAATAGGTTAGTCCCCTTTAGACTTTTTCTTCTCCCCTTTTGCATAACTAAAACTAAAAGTCTTTTTCTTTGGCAAATTCATAAAAATGCTCTAACCATACTTAAATCTTTTCTCAATATAAAAAATACCAGTCAATCCAAACATTTTTTCCTTAGGGCCTCTTTTCTTTGAAAACCTTTTTCATATAAGGACATGTTAATTCCTGATTGTGATACGGTGGGAAGAACTGACTGTTTTTGGAATGCTGGTTGCCGTTTTGCGTTTGTTTTTGCAAAATGTCGCGGTAAGCAAGAGTCGCCACCGACTTTTATTTTATCCAACAAGGAAAGGAAAAAAGCACAGAAACATTCCATTTTTTGATATATTTCTGAGTACGAGGGGTAGATTATAGAAAGGGAAGGTATTAGCACCCTTTCTATCCGTAGTTATCTACGGGCTCTTAGGTACTTGCTCATCATTTTCAAAATGTTTTCTTTGTGCTTGTGGGTTTTGAAAAGTTTTTGTTTTTAACTTCGATTTAACTCTTGCTTCTGTCCTCAAGAGTGTAATGAAGTGTTTTGAAAACTTTGTTTGAAAAGGAGTGTAAGTGTGAAAAATTTGTTTTGTTTTGGATGAGCAAGGATCTAAGAACTATCTACCTACTCGAAAAAGGAATCGTTATATGCTAGTGTCCTTTAAACAATGCTATCCCACTATTAATGAGTGGGTAGCACCATCGTTGGAGTTTGAGGGTCAATTCGAATGAGGGACATACGGTCACCAAAGCAATGTTAGGATGCCTTAGCGGTAACCCTAATGTCTTAGATCATTTGTTTGAGGCAAAAATATCCGAGACAACCGTTTCGAGGCAACTATGATCTTTTAGACAAGAGGACGACCTCTAAAACGACCTATACTCAATGACCGTGTATGAAGGCAACCAAGTGGGGTGTACCCTAGGAGTGCGCATGTGCGAGTGTGTCGTTTTCAGTGATTTTTATCTTTGCACATGTTAAGGATGATCTAATTTGATTTTAAGATTTAACATTCAGTCTTGTCATGCAAACCCTATTATCAAACATCTAACAGTTATATAATCTACGGAATTTAAAGTGCGGAAATTAAAACTAATTATTACAAGGCGTCGGGTATTTACATCGCCAAAAGCAACCCTTTGAAAATAAAAATAAAATAAAGCGGTAAATAAATAAAATGTCCTAATTATATATTACAAACCGGAAGCAGATACATCAATATGGATAAATAAAAGTAAATCGCGACGCGAAATTAAATCGGATACACAATTAGGGTTTTGACCCTTTTTTAAAAGAAAATGTTTTTTGGTTGTTTTTATTTAATAAAGGAAATTAAATTCTAAATTAAAATCTAAATTAATTAATTAAATAAATTAATGAAAAATAATTTATGACATATTTTTGAGTTTTTTTTTATTATTTTAAGAAAGAAAATAAAAATAATTAAATGAATTAAAACCTAATGATTTCTAACTAATTTTAAATATTTACAAAATAAATTAAAGTTTCCTAATTAATATCATAATTAATTAATAAGTTTATTAATAAAAATAAAAGTTTTAAAGTTTGATTGGATAAAAAAGTATTTTTGTGATTTTATTTGATAAAAAGGAATTTTTTTATTGGTTAGAAAATTAGTTAAATAAAATAAAACAATTAAATTAAATAAACAAAATTAAATAAAAAAGTAGAAGAATTGGGCCTGATTGGAGGGTGTAGGTAGCAACTTTCTTGGCCCAATAATGCTGACCTGTTGTACCCCAAAATTTTCCCTCCCAAATTTCTCAAGACATTGCAAGAAAAATCTCCAAGTTGCTCAAGGTTGCTCAAGAATTGGTCAGACAAGCTATCTCCTTAGGCAGTCTATCTCAAATTAGGGTTTTGTGTTGCATCAAGACCCTTGAGTCCAAATGACCTCAAGTGCTAACCAATGTCCTAATATGCTCTCAAGATCATCCATGTCAAGTTTCAAGCCTCGCAGAGGAAGTTTGCTCAGTCAATTGCCCAAAGGTCCAAAAATCGACTGTGCTAGGGCAAAAGTCAACTGTGACCTACAAATAGTCAAACCTCAAAATTTTTTGTCAACGTTCTCATTTTGAAGTATATTTCATCAATTGATCAAGGTTTGATCATGATTCATCAAGGATTACTCAAAATTCATCCAGATTCAAAAGTTGCTAAATTAGGGTTTTGTAGGAAAAGTCAACTCAACTTTGACCAAGCATAACTTTCTCATACTTTATGATAATTGACCCATAAAAATATCATTCTGAATAGGATAAAATTCCATACAATCCATATTCATACCCCAAGTTCAAGAAATTCACTCACAAGAAGTTATGAATTTGGACATTATAGGTCATTTTGAAAAGTCAACAAAAACACCTTTTTTTCCAAAGCTTATAACTTGATCATGGAATATCAAAATTATATGAGACCAAAAGGGTTGATTAGAGGACATCTCAATCTTTCTATAAAGTCCAAGAACATATCCAAAAGTTCAAAATTGAAGAAGTTATGCATTGTTGAAGTTGGACTTTTTGCAAAATTGCCAAAAGTTAACTATCCCCAAAACTTCAAATTTTGCCAAATAGGCCCATTCTTTTTCACTTGTTTTGAGTTTGCATTGTAGCCCACGTGCCCTAGCTCCAGCCATGTGTCCATATCTCATTTTTATTATTTAATTTGATTTTTATTTGAATTAATTTATTTTAAATCAAATAAAATCATATAAAATCTAAAGCTTTGATAACACATGATTTTTTTGGCTATTTCAGGCTCCAAATATAGCTATTATTATCATCAAATTAGTATCAAATCAAATGTGTGCAAAAAAGATTGAAATCAAGCAAATTTGGCAAGTTTGTAAATGGAGATCAAATCAAATATCCAAACATTAATGTGGAGAGATTTGGACCAAGTTTGTT